GTCGCAGCTCAGCGAACACCTCATCCGTCACTGACAGGGGCAGCCTACAAAGCTTGTAGGCAAGGGGCAGTCTACAAAGCTTGTAGGCAGTGGCCACAGCATCCGGCTTTAGTTTGATCAGGTGCTGGTACACTTCAGTGGCTGGGAGGTACTCGGGCGTCGAACCTGCTGTCACTGTATACACAGTGTGGGAGACTGGGTGGAGCGTGACGTCCCACGCACTCAGCAGGTCCATCCCCACGATGGCTTCTTTGCGAGCATCTCAACTAGGTAGAAGGATGCCACCACTTGGTTGCCATTGTGAGAGACAGTGACAGGCAGCGCCCCTCGTACCGTGAGAGCCTGGTGGCCGAAACCGAACAGCCGAGCGCTAGACGGCTGGTAGGACACGCCAGAGAAGAGTTGGCTGGCACGGCTGAGGCTGAGCAGGGAACACGTTGCACCAGTGTCCACCTGCAGTGGCACATCCTGGGTGGTGCCATCGGCTGTCACCTGGACAGTACAGGTGAGACGAGTTGGGTCAGAGGCCTCTGAGGAGTAGGCCAGCGCGTGGGGCTCCTTAACAGCTGGTTTGTAATCTCACTGAGCTGGTCGGGCAGTGGCTGCACTGCTGCTGCCGCGGCACCAGCTGGCGAAGTGCTCCTTCTCCCCATGAGTGGTAGGCAATCTTGCTGGCAGGACAGGCTGCATCCTTGGGAGCATGGTCAGCACGTCCACAGTTGGTGCAGTGGTCACTAGTGCTGTCGTTCAGCTGCTGCCGGTGCCCTCTGGTCCTGGTGACCTGGGCCACTATGGCTGCAGGTGGCGCTGGTGCTGTTACTGGAGCGGTGACCTCTGGTCCTGGTGACCTGGGCCACTATGGCTGCAGGTGGCGCTGGTGCTGTTATGGAGCGGTGACTCTGGTCCTGGTGACCTGGGCCACTATGGCTGCAGGTGGCGCTGGTGCTGTTACTGGAGCGGTGACCTCTGGTCCTGGTGACCTGGGCCACTATGGCTGCAGGTGGCGCTGGTGCTGTTACTGGAGCGGTGACCTCTGGTCCTGGTGACCTGGGCCACTATGGCTGCAGGTGGCGCTGGTGCTGTTACTGGAGCGGTGACCTCTGGTCCTGGTGACCTGGGCCACTATGGCTGCAGGTGGCGCTGGTGCTGTTACTGGAGCGGTGACCTCTGGTCCTGGTGACCTGGGCCACTATGGCTGCAGGTGGCGCTGGTGCTGTTACTGGAGCGGTGACCTCTGGTCCTGGTGACCTGGGCCACTATGGCTGCAGGTGGCGCTGGTGTCGTTACTGGCGCGGGGATGACGGCAGCCTCACGTGGCGAGTGCTCGTAGCTCTCCGCGAGGCTCGTAGCTCTCCGCGAGGCTGAGCACCTTCTCCAGGGTCAGGTCCCTGTCCTGAAGGAACCGTTCCCGGAGACGCTCGTGGGGAGTCTTCTCCACCACCACGTCCCGGATCAGTTCTGACTCCATGGGGTCAAACCGACAGGATCGAGCCAAGCCGTGCAGAGCAGCGACAAAGTCAGCGGTTGACTCGTGGGGGGGGGGGGGGGGGCTGAGCTCACTGGCGGAATTTGAAGCGTTCCGCGATGACGTTGGCTCGGGGAGCGTAAGACTCTCAGGGCTGGCGGAGCGTCGCCGGGTGACATCTCACCATCCAGTTTGACAACGACAGGGAGCGAGTCGAAGACCGGGTACGCTTCGTCGCCGATAGCGCACGCAAGAAGGGCGCGCCGCTGCTCGGCTGGCAGAGGGGTCGCACCATTTTTTGCCGTAGGGAGAGCTCGAATTTCCGCTCCTGCGTACGCCACGAGACGGCTGGCATCTCGGGGTGGAGCAAAAATGGCACAGCAAGTGGCGGTTCGCTATCTGTTTACAGCCGCGCGTGGTGGCAGATCGCGGACAAAATCACGTCAGGAAGTTCGTAGTACGCGATTGCACCATACTACACAAGAAAAATCCCACTCGTCGCCAGTTATAGTGTTCTCGAACCGGCAGAATTACAGTCGGGATCACACGCGCGGGTTTTCAACGTAAGACTGTGTTTCAAGATGACCGGGTAGAGGTGGAACCGTAAGTACTTAAAGAGGTGGACAATAGGAGCATTATTTGTTATGGCGAACCGTCTGTGTACACTTCACTCTGAAATAGCTTTTTTAGGCAATAATATAATTAAATTTAGATTGAAACAAACTTTGTGGATCTGGGGCCAGGTATAAAGGTCAGAACGAGGTGTAAACCACCCTGCTTTCTTCCTCTAGAGCTATATGGGCTACTGCTGATACTGGTTTCGTATTTATTAATAACATAGACCATAACAAATATCCTTCATTGACTCCTTAAATATCAGAGTGGGTAACTGACCCAAAATAATCCAGTTATACATTTTGTTTTTGTAACATAGTACCTAGCGTAATCCTTGACACCCTTCGAATGCAAAAATGAAAACCATTTCGTAGGATTTTCGTCGCCACCCTTCTTAAGGTCAGAAATGATCACTAATCTTAAATGAGCACCTGTGCCATTTTCTTCAGGACAAGTATATAGGTTTAAGGCGGTTGCATCAGGAGGTCTGCGGGTACTTTGGACACTAAGCTGCAGTTTAACCTTGTTTGGCTTATTTGACCCGAGGGTCATGATCAAGCAACTTAAGATTTTGATACAAGTGAGGTAACATACAAGCCAACCCACTCTGAATTTGGCATCTCTTGCAACTAGCTTTAGAGATCCCGGTGGACATATTAGCCCCCACTTACCAGAGCAACGGGCATTCAACCGGCCGGCCGGGCGCGTTGTCTTTAACTTGGTGGTCCCATGCTTAGAGGATAGTGACGTTCTTAAACACCACTGATTCACTCTTAGCTCTGTATTGACTGCTTCACCTTACTCAACTTGAACAAGTTCCTTGTCACGGGGTCTTTCCCGAACACCAAGAGAAGACCAAACAGCGTTACGTTTATGACAGCGGCATTTAATATCCGTAAAGCTAACGACGTCCTAATACTCGAATTCAGCGTCGCGTACCGATTCCGCCTAAAATGACGCGTTTGGTCACAAACACCCCGTTAATAATGAAAATGGGGTGCATTCTGTTCAATCTGAAACCGATTGACCTCTGGAGGTCCAATAACCAAGTAAGCACGCATACTGCCGCTGTATGGTGGTTCTGACGTGTTAAAAAAGAACTCATCTGAAAGCCAGTCATCAGTTACAACCTGGGTACCAAAACACTAAACTTCAGGGTCGATTGTAACGGTGGAGAGTGGAACGCGACCTATCGCCGCGGGCGCTGACCGCCGTCCCGCGGCGGGCCGTACGGGACGCGTGATAGGTGCGTGTATGCAAGCTGACTGATGAGTGGTTGTTCACGCGAACTAAATGTAATGTCGTGCCTGCCTGGGATAGCAGGAACAGGACGCCTCTGGACTCGGTCCAATACAGATCGCCGTATCGCTACACGTCTCTCTCTCTGAACGAGCTGAGCTGAGCCGCTGGACGAAGACGTCACAGGAAGGTTGATGTTAAGTACGCAGAGGCATCATCATAAGCATCCCGAAGGCCTTCTGTGATGGTGTCATAACTGGATCTTGGTTCAGTGGGAACGCGAAGGACAGTGTCGTCGATGTCGGCAACAAAGATCGCAGTGAAAGCGATAGGCATTGTTAACATCACTAACCGCCAGAGCGTCGGTGTGTCAAGCTGCTAAGTAAAGTGAAAGATAGGCAATTGTGTGCACATGTGTAAAATGGTCTAATTAACTGTGGAACAAAACGCAAGTTTCATTTAACCACACCTTACATTTCCAATACAGCTGTAAAATAGGATAGAAAATGAAACAGCGCTGAGTAAACACCCGGGAGAAATGAAACAGCCCTGAGTAAACACCCGGGAGAAATGAAACAGCGCTGAGTAAACACCCGGGAGAAATGAAACAGCGCTGAGTAAACACCCGGGAGAAATGAAACAGCGCTGAGTAAACACCCGGGAGAAATGTACTGAAATTTGAAATAAACCCGAAACACACTTGTGCTTTTGCTTCATTGTTGGTCACACTTGATCGGTAATTGGCCAGTTGCATGATCCAAAAAGTGAAATACTATTTTGATCATTGACCACGGCTACCTGCGTTCAGGACAACGCGTAAAAATAGTCCGGTAAAATGCAAATGCTCAGGAGGCCGAAACCTTTGTTCCATTGACTTAACAGTGCATCTCAAACAGCCGGAAACTTTTTATCAAGCACTCACGCTTATATTAAAAACATACCCTGACGTATGGCAAAAATAATGTTTCGTCGTATTATATGCATATGTTGCATACTTGCATGCATATATCGGATATGTATATATTTTTCATTACCCCATTTTGCAAGAAGGGTCATATTTTTCAGTTTCAGAACTAATATAGCTTCCCTATATTAATACAAATTTTCGCACCATTTGATCTGTCATATGCTTTCAAGGGGACTCTCATATTCATTTAAAGCCCAGCAAAAATTATAGCTCAGCCCCTGGGTGTGTAGGCGTACATTTTCATGCCTCGTCGTTTTGCGCGCCACCCGTCCGGGACCGGAGAGGCTTCGCGCGCGGAACGTGGTAAAGCGAACCAGCCGGCCATGGTCGAAGGCTCCCCCCCCGCGAACAAACACATCCATCAGGCCAAGAAATGAATGCAGCTCGGCTCGACGATCCGGCCGATCAGCTCACGTCGTCAAAACAACGCCAGGTGCTTCTCCCAGAACAGCCATGACGACGGCCCCACCTGCCAAAATCGCCCATCGCGCCAAGAGAAATGGAGGCGAGAGGGGGCAATCGGCGGAACAACATGCGTACAGGAAGGCGCAAATAACATGTTGTGAGGCTGTTTGCTATTTCGCCCCAGCAACCCCCGCCGCGCCGGCGCCGCCGTCGCCCCAGATGCCGTCAGAGGAGCCACGCCACGTGGGAACTGGGCCAGAACGGGACGCGCAGGGCCCGCTCGAGGCGAGAGCGGGCGGGCCTTGCGTCGTCGCCAGCGACGCCACGCCCGAGATCTGGCCTAGGGGCACGTCGAGGGCCGGACTCTGGGAGCGGTGCATGCCGGCCTGGCGACGCATTGGACGGAGTGGGCGAGGCGGCAAACCCATTGGATCACGCAAGACGACGAAGGCGGGCCGAACCAGTTGGGAGGTGTCGAGAGTCAATAAAATATCATGCGAGGGGCTCCGGAGGACAGTACAGTGCCAGTGAGTGCGCCCGACGCCTACAGCGGCATCTTGAGGCCGACCCTCCGAGGCCCCAGCTCACAGCACCCGGCTGTGATATTCGTCACGGCGTACGACGGTCACCGACGACGGCGCACACGATGTGAGTGCCCAGGCTGTTGACCCCCCTACCATTCCCATCCCACCGGGCCATGGGCGGCTGGCGCTCCGAGCGTGCCCTTTCAACGCGCTCTTCACCGGGCGGCGTAAGCAGCGATTACCGGATCCCTCCCGCGGAGCCGGGGAAAGACGGAGGGGCTCGGGTGCGTTACTGCGTAAGGTGCCACGCGGCTCGACGCTGAGCCCGCCTGAAGCGATGGACTGGTGTGTCGCAGTGTGTGAGTGATTTTTGTCTCGTCTTTGTGTGTGAATACAGATGACGGCTTGCATTGCGATGGTTTAGCGAGGGAGCGAGGCTGGATGAGGTTGGCCCGGGCGGCGAGAGGACACTCGGCCCGGCGTTGGGCGGTGCTGTGTCCGGAGCCCTGGATGCATGCTTGGACTCAGCGGTCCGTTTGTTGACCCGCCCCGTAGCTATCCTGAGTTTGCCGGTGGAGGAGGCCATGTGGAAGCGCTGCGGCTTGTCTGGGCCTTCGCGTGGCAGCCGTCACGACCAGACGCGGCGTACGGGCCGCGCCGACATGTCTCCGGAGGTCTCCGGCGTACGGGCCGCGCCGACATGTCTCCGGAGGTCTCCGGCGTACGGGCCGCGCCAACATGTCTCCGGAGGTCTCCGACGTACGGGCCGCGCCAACATGTCGCCGGAGGTCTCCGGCGGCAATGGTGGTAGGATGTTGGTTAGGTGGACGGCTCGCCTTATATTGTTCGCTTCGCTGTTGTATTTTATAGTTCGAGGTAGCCGGACTCTCACGGGTTCGATCCAGTGCGCAGGCTCGGCTTCTCTGATGGCCACGCCACCTTCTCCCCATTGGTTGGTGATCGCGTTGCCTAGGCCAGTGGACTGCATAGTCCCGCGGGACTTCCGCACAGACCAAGTTTGCTTTCCCCGCCAACTGGGCGGTTGGTCTTCCGCTCCCGTTGGCGCTGGTGTGAGTGCGTTTTTTTGTGGATGGTTTGTTTGTTTTTGTGTTGTTTTGTCCTACTCCGAACTCCCGCCCGCGCACGGTCAGCGCGCATGCTCGATTCGCTTACAATCGCGCCGCCGTTTTGCCATCCATTTGATCGCGTTGCCGGGATGGTCTTGCGGTCGGGATTGGTCGACGGAAGGGATGGTCTTGCCGGATGCCCGCGCATGCTTAGGCTCACTTCCCGTTCAGTTGGTCGCTCGTATTCCATCTCTCCCCTTGATCCGTCGCGGGACACCGAGCTCTTACCAAGCTCCGTCGGTGCGCCTGCTCACACTTCGTTATGTGCATGCTGCTCCACCTCCTTTGCTTGATCACTCGTCCGCCCGATAGGTCAGCTGGGCCAGTGAGGTATCCGCGCGTGGGTGAGGTCAATTGCTGTTTTTGTGTGTGTTCTGTTTTGTTTTTTATCGTTGTCCTCCTCTTTATTCATGTTTTCTTTTCTTTTCGCTCGCCTCGCTGTTAAATGGGTTAGCGCGGTCTAGCTCCGCTCAGCGCATGCGCTACACGGATTCCCTCAGCGAGCGCGCGTATTGCCCGGCTTCTACCTTCCTCTCCGTTTCGCTAGGCCTGGATCGCTCTCTGATCAAGTGATGCACGAGGTTCATGTTTGGTTAGCGAAGGCCCATCTCGTCGGAGAGGGATCCGATACGGACGCCGGAGGTTCAGTGTAGGGGAGAACAGCGTCGAAATTTCCGAACCGGACATGATCCCGGATATTAGCTAGAGGGCGAGAGGAGACAGCCTACCGAGGTGTTGAGGCATAGCTGTGAGGTGCGCCGAGCTCGCTTCATCTCGAGGGATTGCCCACAATTCTGCGAGACCAGGGAAGGTTGTTCGCGGGGCGTCGCCCGGGCCGGCGTTCGGAAAGAGACACGGACGCCATCTGTCAGCCGACATGGGCAATCGCGGTAGAGGGCAGCACCCGGCGGTGTGCGATGGCGGCGCGGGCACCCGCGACCCGCCGGCAGATGGCAGTCTCTTGCGGTGTGGGTGGGCGGAGCGGTCCGCTGCTCGTGGCCCGCCGGCAAGCGAGCAGCCCGGTGTGGGTACGATAAGGACGAGGAGTCAGACGGCCATAGTCCTGCTTTTACGCAGATAGACGTTTGTGGGTAGCGCGGCTCAAGACACAGTTTCGCTCTTTTTCGGAGGCGGCTGACTCGTTTTATTGTTTCCCACTTGACCCCTGGCGTGACGGCATAAAGAGGCATTGGTCATGATGTGACCTTGGACCCGTGGGGACCGCCCGGGATGCTTGATTGTGCATGGTGGTAGCGTAGTCCATCCGTGGTGTCTCCGCCTCGGGAGAGGATAGGGGTCAGTCTGCTCTCTTCCAACGTGGTTTACGCCGGGTCTTATGAGCGATTGGTGACGGGATGTTCGGGACGGATAGAGATCCAGCCATCGACGCTCATAGGGAAGGCGACAAGGAATCAGCTCGCCGGACAGGCCGGTCAGGCCGAGTCTCCAAAGCGCGCCGGCGGAGGAGACCGTAAGGCGTGAACGCGGGTCGCGCCGTGCGCTCGTCGTCTGCCGAGGGGCTCCACCGTCCCATAAGCGCGCTGTCTACCTCCAGGCCTCTGAGGGGGGCGCCGTGGGGCGGTGCCTTGCAAAGCCTGCTCCGGCGGGCGGGAGGCGAGGGCGCAGAAGTGCCGGAAGCGATGCCTCCGTGCTGGACGAGGCACTGCCTAAGGCGCATGCGCGGCAGCGGGAAGCTGCGAACGGTGGGTGTGGCCGTGCGAATGGTGGGTCGCCCATTGTGGACGGAACGTGGGGAGCGTCGTCCAAACAGGGAGCCGTCACCCTGGAGGTCAGGCGAGGGAACAAGTCGCCGTTCAGCTTTGGACACCCGGTGTCGGCCCAGCAGCTGCGTCGGTGCCAAGCTGGTAAATCAACGTGATACAATTTGAACGAGGCTTAAACGTAGCTTTTTGGCAGGATCGAAATGTGATAGATGAATCAAACTTCACTTAACGAGGACCCACGCGGACGAGCCAATTATAATGCCAAGGCGCGGGAAATAAGGGGGGGGGGGATCCCACCCGTGTGCGTGCCAAGGATGAATGGGATGATGTGGGCGCCAGTGTATGAGAATGTTTGGAGCGAGTGTGATGGGGCGCCGAGTGCATGGAGTCTGCGTGGATCAGTTAAGGCCGGGGAGGGGGGGGGGGTCCCAGGGCCATTACCCAGTGGGCTCTTGCCAATATAATTCGCCAGTGCGTGGGACCCTTACCAGTTGGGTGTATTAGTATGCACGCGATCTCGTTTTTGCCCCATTTAAATATTATCGCAAGCTAAAGGGTGGAGGTGGAATATCGTGGCTAAGGGCACACAGCCATGGGCGGGGAGACCGCCGTTCAAGGTGCCTGACCGGATCCACCAACCCGCCAAAGCCCCGGTCACCCGCTTCATCCTAGCTCTGTGGCTCACATGAGTGTGTGTTGGTATTGGGTGTACCGGAGCCACAATGTGCCGAGCCATGCGCTAACATCATGGGGCTCGTATGCTGGCCAATGAGCTCCTCATTATGAATTCGCTCTTGTGGGACGGTGAGACAGCGGCAGCCGGCGGCGTACGACATCCAGCGGCGGCCAGGGCAGCCGCGCACGACGCCCACCGCAGGACCCCCCCCCCCCCCCCCACACACACACAAGTGCTATTGGCTTAAAAGAGCCAGCTGAAGCATTGTAAGATGAAAATCACCGGCAGTTCATTCCACCCCGTCACATCAAACATAATTCATCTCCTCGCGGCTTCTGGCTTCTGTTTCAGTTGAAGAGAGTAAAAACAAAGTTTAAACACAAGAAAACACACCCCTCGACAGCAAGCGGGTCCTATCCCGCGCTTTGGGGGCGAGGATGGGGGCTTCCACCACTAGGGGCCCTTTGCCAACAATGTCCCCCCTTTCTCACTAAGGCTCTGGCTGCGCCCCTGGCCTCTTGGCTGGTGATATGGCAACCTACATGAACCTTAACGAATTCAACCAACTGTGCAAATGACAGCTGAACCATGCACGTCTCGAGACCAGGTTGTTTAGTTGAGCGCAGGTCAACATTCAGCCTGAATTGAGTGCGATTTCACGTTCATGCTGTTCGGCAGCAACTGCATGGTACAGTAAGTCCTCGCAAACAAGTCTATGTACCGTCAGCGCCGGTTAAAACCCATGCAGTCCGTTATGCGGATAACGGAGTCTCAGATTGACAAACCCTTGATCTTGCACTTGCCCGTCTGCTTTCACCGCCTGTTTCTTGCTTCAAATGACTTGCTCAAGTCAGGAAAGCCTTTGTGCATATATCCAGGGCTTTAAAAACAATATCTACCTGAAATTACCCACCTTCTAAAACATGTATAGATTGTGTGCGACAAATATCATGCATCTTAAATTTTTTCCCGACTTCCCGAAACTTCGTGCATTACATTAACGACGCGCTTTCAGAATCACAGCGAAGTGCTTCAAACGTTGGACTTCGAACGCCTTGGTAAAAACAATTTTCGAACAGCCTGTTGGCTTATAAATTGCCTGTAAGCTAAATACCTCCATGTGGTGAAAACAGAAACAGCTGAAAAGTAAAAAAAGCACTCAGGCTGCTGCACGAACAGCTGAGAAAATACCAGCGGAATTTTGAAACGGCTCATTGACCCCCCCCCCCCCCCCTCCGAAGGCATTCAGGAATCAGGTTAAGAGACTGCATGACGTCAAAGGCAATGCTCCACATTTGACGATATGGAATCAAGCATGAAATGTGATGAATAAAGTTCACTTATAGCTGTTGGCGTACTTCTAAGTAGGAAAGACTGCCCCAGACAGCATAATTACTCCATTTAGATAACATGCTCTTCTATACGTCATTGTTTGTTTGCGCCATCGTACCTTGCACAACATTGATCGAGAGCCAACTGACGGCCGTTACGTCTGGAAAACGTGCTCACGAACGCCATATATGGACGTCCTAGCAATTAGATTTGTCTCGAGCTTGTTCAGCGCATGGACAATAGAATGACAAGATTTAAATGACGTTATTATGACACTATGCATTCCCAGGTGACCTTGAAGTACTTTCCCAAATCTTTGCTGCCTTCTAGCTCAGGAACCAGGGGGTTTTACGTCTTAAAAAGTGCGTGGCCATGAGATACATCGAAGGGTTCTCAATATGGCTATTTTAGTTTAAAACTGCACACAAATGTGGAACACTCTCCTCAAGCAGTACTTGCAGCTGCACATGATGGAATTGCATGTAACAGCATAAGCGTCGTAACAGGTGGCTTAGCAGTTCTACGGCTGTTTTGGCACCAAGGACATCAGGAGCCTACGGCATCTATCGCAGGCCAATCTTTCACGGCGCTGCAGCAGTGGCATATCGGAGTCTGTGCGCCGCTCTGTTCAGTATGCCAACCGACCGCCGCGTGCACGCCGCTCTGTTCAGTATGCCAACCGACCGCCGCGTGCACGCCGCTCTGTTCAGTATGCCAACCGACCGCCGCGTGCACGCCGCTCTGCTCAGTACGCCAACGGACCGCCGCGTGCACGCCGCTCTGTTCAGTTTGCCAACGGACCGCCGCGTGCACGCCGCTCTGTTCAGTATGCCAACCGACCGCCGCGTGCACGCCGCTCTGTTCAGTATGCCAACCGACCGCCGCGTGCACGCCGCTCTGCTCAGTACGCCAACGGACCGCCGCGTGCACGCCGCTCTGCTCAGTATGCCAACGGACCGCCGCGTGCACGCCGCTCTGTTCAGTGTGCCAACGGACCGCCGCGGCGGCTGCGTCTCACATGAGGCCGCACAGGGGTCATCAGGCACGGCCTGGGTCCGCAGCAGATGTATGGCCACTGTACGTGCTACCACATTATACTTGCTGAGCACGGATGGTCCATACCTAGGCAAATCGCCAACAGCGTAGGTCTGCGGAGCGGGTCCCGGTGCCAAACATGGCACCAACGTCGGGCGGGTCGTGTAGTTCCGAGGCGAGAGCGTAATATTCAGCTGGCGATCGGTTCTAGGGAGCAGTCCCTGCGGCGCTGTTTGCGCCAACTCACTCTTGATGAGTGGTGCACCGCCCACCTCCCTAGAGAGGTGAATCATTACTGGCCCGGCGCCACGGCCGGTGGACAGAGAGCGCCGCGACGTGACGCACCGAGGACGTTTCGAACCGCCTCAGTGGCCTTGTTTGTGTGTGTGTGTGTTTGGACGAATTCCTGTCAGAAACGCCCCTTTGTGGGCTTTGAGGTCCATAGGGAGTGCGGATGTTGAGTAATCTCACGAGCTAGGTACACACCAATGACAGTCACGTCCATACGTGCCAGATGTATTTGTTGCAGTACATTTTGTGTTCAGAAGCCCCCACGTTATTGAATAAAGAAATCATCGACGTCGCATCTTTCCTGCTACCAGCAGGACACATTTTGCCAGGGGCGATGCGACGACAGACGCGAGCGTTATTGCCATGCAAATGTTGCAAACGCGAGTTGTCGCGCACCGTTCTTAATAGCACCAGTGACCATGGTCGTTATACAATTACCCAGCAACAGAAGCGCGATCGACATGCGATCCTGGATCCCGGGTGGGAGCCAAAAACGCCACTACACGGCCGTTACAACCCTACAGGCCTACACCACAACGTGACTTCCTGAGCCCACCGCTTTTGGGAAGCCATATGAATAATCTTTATCAATGCTTTGGAATGTACATCCGTCATGCGTTAAGCAGGCAGGGAGGCACTGATGCGCTGACGTTTGTCGTTCGCAGAGGCATTTACGATGGTGATGAGTTCAGAGGCGGACAACGATGCTTTAGCATAACATGCATACAGAGCACGGGAGTGGCGACAGTGAGTGCTGACCTCACAGCTGAACATGTCGGCACACCCGGATGGGCGTTGAGTCGTTTGTTGCCAGCGAGCATTGATGATCAGAGAGCGCAAACGAATTCGTCGGGGCTAAACATTTAAGAGGATTGTGATAGCCACGTGTTCGCTTTAGAACTTCCATTCCAATGCTTTTGTCTGCATCAACATGTATTGCACGGCACGAGTTGATGCTCACGTGAGATCTGAACTGTGCTATTCATCGTAACACAATTCTTATAAAGTGATTTCGTGCCGAACAAATTTACGATGGTCATTTGATGCACATTAATTGCACACATTGCACACATTCCTTTGCGTCTCGATAAGTAGCAAGGACAGCAGCGCATTGCCTAAACGCAAATAGCGTAATGTCAGGCCTCATTTTTTAAAGCTATTGTACAGAATAATTTGAGCCAGTTTTGGTATAGACTGTCCTACCTCCTTGCACGGGTTTGATTGACTTGTTTCTGGCTAACAATGATAACAATTTTATTGGCGAAATTAATTGGTTTGAAATATTTACGCAACCATAAATTTGACGAGAGTTTTGATACAAATGCAAAGGCTTCGGGTGGGCGTAAGCCGTAGTGAAGTAGCCTGGCCTACTTGCCTGTGAACCGTGAAGTATGCATTGCCCAATCACCCTCGTTTTAAACCTCGCCGTGTTGGGTTCGAAACCACATACTTACGAAATGGAATCGCCACTTCATGGTCTTTTCATGCTGCAACCTCTGGGTCCGACAGTGTCGAGAGCGCTTGATGAGTTGCAAACAGTGAATTCGCCTACGCCATGCGGCTGATGTAGTCCTACACTGAGCAGCTTCATGTCCGTCTGCTTTGCCTGCTGTCATGTCTGTCTGTAAAACGCAGCTGCCGTGCAGCTGATGTAGTCCTATACTGAGCAGCTTCATGTCTGTCTGCTTTGGTTGCCGAAATGTTACATAAAAAACGTCTTCCCGAGATTTGATCAAAGGTTTACACAATATAGTTGTTTGGCCTATCGACTAGAAGTTCGCCAGTGCAATTCTCTGTTTCCTGCACCTTCAGTGTTAGTCTCATGTGACCGTGACGTCTGGTCGTCCTGGTCTGGACCTGATTAAGATTACTGCTTTTCAGCTGGTTCCTAATGTGAAAGGTCTCCACGTTAATCAAACACGTGATTGAAAACTGCACTGGGACACGGCAAGCAGTTTCAAACACGCCAACACGCCGAATGCGGGATCGCCAGGCCGGGCCGCTGAAGCTGCAGAACCTGCGACTGCGGGATCGCCAGGCCGAGCCGCTGAAGCTGCAGAACCTGCGACTGCGGGATCGCCAGGCCGGGCCGCTGAAGCTGCAGAACCTGCGACTGCGGGATCGCCAGGCCGGGCCGCTGAAGCTGCAGAACCTGCGACTGCGGGATCGCCAGGCCGGGCCGCTGAAGCTACAGAACCTGCGACTGCGGGTTCGCCAGACCGGGCCGCTGAAGCTGCAGAACCTGCGACTGCGAGATCGCCAGGCCGGGCCGCTGAAGCTGCAGAACCTGCGATTGGTTGGTCTGCTACTTCACTCGTAATAAGTAAATCTACGGAAACAGTAATGACTTACTGCACACGCCTGTCCGGCCAAGTCTTGCGCAATCCCAGACATGCCGCGGTAGCACGTTGTTTGAGGTTTTTATCTATTAAGGCTAACTAAATCTCTTAGATATAATCGAAAACATCTGAACACATTTCTGAAGCAGCCGCAAAAAATACTCATACGATATAATGTGAAGTGATTTGTTCGGAAAATTGAGATAAGTGGGTTCGAAAACTGTTGCCCATGTTGCCCAGTTTGAAATCTCGGGACCTTTTACACGCGGGCACGTTTAGACGGGATTTGAGCTGTTAAGTGACTGTTCCGCACATGTTGAACCTGTATTTTACAGCGCACACCTAGGTGTAGGAACAGGTTGACTACGGCGTCTAGGCCCACACATTTTTTTAAATTGATTTTTGTAAGTTAACAACAATCCGCCCCTACAGATGACTTGGAGCACTTTTGGCCCTATTCTTCGTAACATCTCCAAACCTTTGAGCGCAAGCAGGATTCTATAGCAAGCGCAAGCGCAGTTCAGTGTTCTCTTGAAAGCATCAGTGATAAACTGTGTGTTTAAACACGCCCAGTGTTCAGTGATCGTTCAGTCCAGTCGAAAAGCCCACATCAAACAATGATGATCACAGATGCTGTATTCATTTCCAAGTTCAGTGGTCCCATACTTAAGAGGACAGAGTGTCCGCGTCCAAAGCAAGGGCAAGGTCGAGCAAGGGCACGCTCAGCTGCTGCCTTCGCTGAATGCCCGCGGGAGGCCTCCGAGCCGGAGACTCTTCTCAGCGCCACCCAGTAGGGCGGCGCTGAGATACACCGGATACATCTCACCGGATACACCGGATACACATCACCGGATACACCTTTTTTCTTTGAATACGGTGGGCCGATGATAGCTGGATGCGTAGTGCCGAGCGAAATACGACAGTGAATGTTCTTATAACACAAACATATTCAGCTACCAAAAGCATTTGTCGATACACAAATGATTGAATTCATCTACAGACATACAACAGCGTGCTGTGCGCCATGCGGGTGGCTCACTCTCGAACCAAGCTTGTCGCGAACAGACGTGTCGATGGAATATCTAAGCATCCAGCTTCAGGACATTGTGAAGTACCTGGTTCGCCACTTCGTACCAACGTGGCTCCACGTAGCGGAAAGTGGCTCATACTTCAGTGGACAAAAGGACATGCTGCATTCTCCGAAGCTCCTGCGGTCACTTCCAGACCACATGCAGAATATAGCACAGTCCAACACGGAGAGAAAAGTGTGCTGGTTTCATCCCGAAGTTGTGGTTTTAGCGATGAAGATTGACAAGGATGCAGAGATCAGAGCCCAGGCCGATGCGGAGATAAGAGCCCAGGCCGATGCAAAGATCAGGACCCAGGCCGGTGCAGAACTGATCAGAGCCCAGGCCGATGCAGAGATCAGAACCCAGACCGATGCAGAGATCAGAGCTCAGGCCGATGCAGGGACCAGACCCCAGGCCATAAAGCGTATAAAAAAATGCTGCTTTGAGCGCCATGGAAATGGTTGCGTGTTCACTCTGGCAGGTAGCGACGCTTGCGAACAATTGTTCAGCTGGGATGTAAAGCTGGTGACAGAGCAGCAACTGACAAACTGTTGGAATGGATGGGAGCTAAGAGACATCGAAAGAATCCGGCCTGAGATGAAAATATAACCTGCCCACACTCAGACCGTCGAGAGGGCGGCCCGAGTGGTGCCAGAAACCTCCAGTGGTCACCAAGGGACCCTTCGGCCCCCTCAGGGCCTACGATTAATGGCCCGATCTGAGGGCCCGAACAGCCCAGAAGGCCGGCCGGAGGTTGTATTTAGAGGTACGACCCGCAGGGCTGGCACTCCTAAGCCAGCCAAGAGCATTGGAGAAAAGTAGAGAAACTATCATTTATACCGCTGGATGAGAGCAATGATGATATCATAATATTGCATATGGCTGGTGGAGGCTGGGCTTGTAATATTTCAAACAATATTTTAAGAACTTGAAAAGCATGGTATCCCGTACCAAATCATCGCCGGGCACCACGTTCTACACCTGATGAAGCACCCTAGTTTCCAGGGCCTGACCAGTGACCCTCACGCCTGAGACTTCCTTACCCGCCCGTTACGGTCTGTACCCGTACCCACGCTTCCTTACCCGCCCAATACCCATGGTACTGTACCCGTACCCACCCTTTCTTACCCGTCCGTTACCCATGGTACTGTACCCGTACCCACCCTTTCTTACCCGTCCGTTACCCATGGTACTGTACCCGTACCCACCCTTTCTTACCCGTCCGTTACCCATGGTACTGTACCCGTACCCACCCTTTCTTACCCGTCCGCTGCCCATGGTGCTGTACCCGTACCCACCCTTTCTTACCCGTCCGTTGCCCATGGTGCTGTACCCGTACCCACGCTTCCTTACCCGCCCATTACCCATGGTACTGTACCCGTACCCACACTTTCTTACCCGTCCGTTGCCCATGGTACTGTACCCGTACCCACCCTTTCTTACCCGTCCGTTGCCCATGGTGCTGTACCCGTACCCACCCTTTCTTACCCGTCCGTTGCCCATGGTGCTGTACCCGTACGCACGCTTCCTTACCCGCCCATTACCCATGGTACTGTACCCGTACCCACACTTTCTTACCCGCCCGTTACCCATGGTACTGTACCCGTACCCACCCTTTCTTACCCGTCCGTTGCCCACGGTGCTGTACCCGTACCCACGCTTCCTTACCCGCCCGTTACCCATGGTACTGTACCCGTACCCACCCTTTCTTACCCGTCCGCTGCCCACGGTGCTGTACCCGTACCCACGCTTCCTTACCCGCCCATTGCCCATGGTACTGTACCCGTACCCACGCTTCCTTACCCGCCCGTTACCCATGGTACTCTACCCGCACCCACGCGCTACATAGTCGTGCCCATCCTCTGCGCAGCCATTTGCGTTCAATATCTTTTTAGTTTTAAATTATGGAAGTCACCGGAAAGATAACGCCCAAACTGACATTTTTGCATGGGTCACGGGAAAGAGTGCGAATGGAGGTAAATATGACTAAACACGCGAACAATAACATTGTGTAGTATTTCTTGTAGCATGTATGCGATATTTCGTAAACGTCTTATCTATAGCCGTTCCCACACCCATCACTGTCCCAAAGCCTACACCAAACCTAACCCGTTACTCACTTAATATGGTTACCTATAGGTTTGCCCAGCCCGTAACTTGGCCACCTCGACGCAGCTGGTGGACAGCGGCGCTCCCCGATAGCAGTGTGGCGTTGGCCTACAACCCACGTGCGCCGCGCGCCAATCCAGCCGTCACCGCGCCGAATCAGCTTCGGCGAGGCGCGCACGTATCTGATAGGACATTCACCAAGTCGCTGACCATTCCCCTAGCCAAACGGCAGGTAGCATGTCATGCTTGGTTAGCATAACTTACGGATGCACTGATACCTTTGTAAGATATTTGGGTGGGCTGCTGGGTAATACAAACGCCAGTGAATTTTACGAGGCTGTCGCTGGTGCGCATATGTCCAGATACATGCAGTCCAAAACCAGTAGTTGTAAGTACCCTAATTAACCTCCGACAGCCCGGACACTTAGTTTCCTTGAACGGTGCTTGCATAAGTAAGTAAAAAAGGCATGAGTAACTGTCACGTACCAAGTAAACGTTACCTGTGCAACTTAAATTTCGAAATATGTGAAATGCCTTGGTGCTCAATTCCGTTAACAATCATCTACCCGTACGCATTGTTTGTGATGACATGATATGACATAATATCACTTCACATTGATTGAAGGTAAATAATCATTGCACACTAGCCCAGTGGCGCAGGCAGGGAGGGGGCACATGGGCACGTAACCTCTCCAATTTGGCTCCGAGGGGCCCAAAGGACCCTCGGGATGCCAGACAGAGGGCCTCTTGTACAGATGGGAAGCCATTTGTGACAATGTGGGTCTCAGTTTCGGCCAAAGACCACCAAAACTAAACAGTTGGCTCCGCGTTGGTCCGGGCCCTGGGGGCCCATAAGCAAAGCAAAAACAAGGCCTGGTCTCACGGTCTGGTCACATTTTGTCATGTGTGACACCCACTGTCACATTTTGTCATGTGTGACTCCCACTGTCACATTTTGTCATGTGTGACTCTCGCTGGCGGGGGCAATAGGCGTCACTTATGCGAGTCCAGGTTTTAATAGATTCGCATGCAAAACAAACGAGGTTCACGAAATCAGGCGTAAACTGTGTGCAAACATAGGAGGGACATATTCTATGTCGGGAGTCCATGCGCCCTATTCCTTCGAGATACAATGCACACATGCAAAACGCTAAAGAACAAGACAGAAAATACCCCTTTTGGCGACTGTCTTTTGACAAAATACGCTGAGGCTGAAATCCAGGGAGGTACGGACTCTTTATCCTTTTTAGAACTCAATGATCTAAAAGGCTTTACAAGAACATCCAGACAGAAAAATAGGTGAATTTATTTTTATAAGAAGTCGGCGGTCAGACCTTAACGTACAGGGCGCACCATGGTCGGTTATACGAGAGTGATAAGTGCCTTGCTGTGCAATGCGTGCTGCATTAAAACCGTTTTCACGTATGGGTGATGCATGACGCGTAATGCGCTGCATGTATAAGTGATGCGTGATGCCTGTGCCATTGAAATCTTGCATGTATGACTGATGCGTGATGCCTGTCTGATTGGATGAGGTCGTATGTACACGTACTTTCTGCATATCTTGATTCTTAGTTGGATATTCACTGCATGGAATAAATGGCTGGCAGCTGTCCTTGTTGAATTCCCTGGATGCTGGTGACCTGTAAAAACTGTGGTTTGCTGTTTAAAGAAAATAAAAAAAATGTGACAAAGAGTGGGACCGGCAGGCAACTTTTAAGTTGCCACTGATATGCGTTTCGATGAAAGTCTGCATCTGAACCATCGATCCATCTGTCTTTCCATTCTCGTGGTTATTCCACGAGGAATAAAGCTGGAAGTGCCGTCTTATCTATATTCAAAACAATAGATTAAAATAGGTGAAAACTGAAAAATGCCAACCAATGCTTGCCTGAGAACGTTATTAGTTTTGGAGAATCGTATTGTCAATCAAATTATATAGCAAGAATTGAGCTTGTCCCCTCCCAATCTCAGGAGCAAGCACAGCTATGGCCGGGGTTACAGTTCCCACGAAACCGGTCAGTGTTGGCCGCTACAGATAACACCAGGCAGTGGGACCATGTTCAGAACTACCAATTAATCAAAACAAAGACCAATCAAATGCGGAATATTTCCCTGAAATGCTGGGTAACTAGGTACCTTAAGACCTAACCAACAGTTTCATGCATATTTTGAGCCACATATTATCATGTGGGTGCTTTATGTGTCTATGTTATTCGAACTCTTTTATATGTTCCAAATATGTTGACTTTTCTATAAATGTCACCTGAAGCGGGACAACAAAAAGTGGACCATGAAATGCGGTTGCTGTTAGGATAGCATAGCTCATGCAGCGATTTTGCAAGGTAAGACGACTACTTATCACGGCTGCCACAGTTCAAGTTAAGACGACTATTTATCACGGCTGTCACAGTTTAAGGTAAGACGACTACTTATCACGGCTGTCACAGATCAAGGTAAGACGACTACTTATCACGGCTGTCACAGATCAAGGTAAGACGACTACTTATCACGGCTGTCACAGATCAAGGTAAGACGACTACTTATCACGGCTGTCACAGATCAAGGTAAGACGACTACTTATCACGGCTGTCACAGTTCAAGGTAAGACAACTTCTTATCACGGCTGTCACAGTTCAAGAACATTGCACGAACATCACGAGCACTGTAGCCATTCAAACTCTCACGCCCCGTCACCCAATGCGAGGTAATGCGCTGAGGCATGCAATTTCAAGTCCACTTTAAGGTGAAGGTAATCCTGACGGCGCACATCATAAATTTTTCGTAGCCTTTCCACGAAAGGTGTACCATGCAGTCCCTCTTCTCCAGTCTGCATGCATCAGGTCACGCCATTCTGCAAAAGGCTGATGTCTTCTTGTGCCTTGGACAACATTCCATGAACGATAAACGACGCCCGTTTCCGGTGGTCATGCTGGACCGTCTTACTAAAATACTTTTCTCTGAATGGTATCCGATTCTAAGCTTTTTACGAAGCTGCAGTTTTACTTGGGCTGAAAATGAAAAGGCATTCTTCCGTGAAAGTCACATCAGGCGATTTAAACTACAGATCCTTAAGATCGGGAACCAAAATTTAAATGTTGGCAAAATCTGAAGAGAAATCCAGCCATCTCAAACTTCAGCAGAATCTAGCATTAGCACTTCGGTGTTGCATGAAGAGATGCGAGATGACGAGGTCAAGTCACGACACACAACATTGAGGCATTTGCCCAGGCAGTGACGACACGAATATCATGTCCTGCCCGCTAAGAGATATATGGGGCTATTTTCATGAGCTAAAATAAATATGACGACTCCTTAATGCCACGACAGAGAATGTATGTCAGCATTCCTTTAATGCCTTCGACACGCAAAACCTAGAGGCCGTGAAAAGCTAAACATGATTCGCACCGCGCTTGAGTCGCCCTTCAGGACGTATCTACACAGTGGGTATTACGTGAATCCGTACAGTTGCCCAAACACGTAAATCAAATTCCTCCACGGCTTCCACAAATGTATATTTCACCCTAAGTCAACTTTTCGCAGCCGCTGCGAGCGTCACTCTAGAAACACTGCCACAACCTGCTGAGATTAATTCAAACATGCAGAAGATTACTAGCCTAACTAGAGAAATCACCGTACGCAATTTGATCGGTAATATCGGTTTCTCGAAAACCGTCTGAAGAACTCAGAATATGATTTGAAGTAGCCGTTCCAGCGGGCAAAATCTCCTCGGTCTCCCTGTTCACCACTATGAAAGTAATACATTTGATTTCCCTTGATTTTTCCAACGCGTGTGCTATGCAACGTTTGCAGCACACTTAGTTGTCAAAACCCTTGAGTAATAAATGCAGCAATAGCTGGAAACACCCTTAGAAAATAAATTTGCAAACGTAAGTCATTACCCGCGAATTCTACGAACCTTATGCTATGGTTTTGATTTCTCCCGTGTGGCATTAAGCACCGTGGCTCTTTTCCAAGCACACTTTGGCTTGGAAAACGGAGCATCGCATGGTCTATAGCGACGCACTGGTTCAAGCTTCACCTAATGCTCTTCTCCGTAACTGGCCCTTTCCGCCCGTTGCGCCAATCGCAACCATTTGCTTATACCCACGTCATTCATGCCAATAGAGGTACCTCTTTCATGCCCGTAGACCCGCAAAGTAAGGGTGAAAAGTTAAAGAGATCAAAAGCGGTACGTCTGATCAATAACACCTGAAAACGACCCTCAGCAGATTCTGCCGTCGTCATAACGACAGTGGTTGCCATGACGACGATGGTCGCGACAACTGCAGTTGTCGGGGACTAAGATAAACTCTGGGGCTGCAAAGAAAGGAAAAGGTTTAGTGCTGTTATAAGCCGTCGACAGGGTAATTTTGGACTACAAAATGGTCAAAAATAAATGTGCATTATATCTTGATTAAACTGCAGTAGCAGTGCCCAGTAGTATGTGTCATTGAGGGCGTGAATCTCTTGGAATCAACTGAGACAAAGTTTTTCCTCGGCACGCGGAATAATTATAAACTTTCGAGTATGTCGCACCTCACCAATGTTGA